GTCCATGAACACGATCCACACTTGTGGCTGCTGTGCGCATTACCCGAACTTCCTCAGAGGCATGTATTTTGTTGAGAAGAGACGATAACGCTTGCGAGATTTCCGGCTCGATCGATGCTAACGTTTTTGAACGAAGTTCAGGTCCATACCTCAGCTTGACTAGCTTTGGCAGGTCCTGATGTATAAGCTGCAACCACAGTAGGACAGTGACGTTCTCCAGTGTAGGGGTCAGATCCTCATCCACTTCTATTTTTTCCCCATGATGGGATATGTTTCCATTTACATGCAAGTGGTCGTCGATGAAAGCAGATAGCCTTTGATATAAATCTTCTGGGCGTTCATCCGCTTGGAGGTGGATGTCACACAAGTCCAGAAAATGGCCTCCTTTTGATTGAAATCCGAAGTGAAGCCTGATAACTTGCCATGTATCTGGAATAGACGTGCTGTTTTTAACTATGGTGTTCCTTGAAATGATAGGGCAATAGTTGGCAATCTGGCCCAACAACAGTTCCAGCATATTCACTTTCTGTTCGGCAGTGCGTCATTGTCGTTGTGGAATAGGTTCACCATCAGTAAAGCCTCGTAAAGGGTTACTTTGTGAGCGTTTCAACCATGTGACTCCGTCAACTAGGTATGGAGCAAAGTTTGGATCCAGCGATAACGTGTATATGAGGTTTTGTCGCCAGTTGTCAAATGAGGTAACTGTTTCTGTTTTGGATAAACACCGCTGTTTAGGAGCACGATGTGTTTGCGCCATGGTGATGGATTTTGAAGACTCGTCAGTATTCTCCCAATATTTGAATGTCTGATCGATCACAATTATGTGTGAAAAGTCAACTTGCCAGATTTATGGTGATACAAATGATTGAGAATCGAGAATACAGCTGCCACCACGCCAGAGTGAGACTGCGACCAGTGACAAAGTCTTCTTAGACGCTCAAACCCTTTAATCAACTATACACACCACACGTCGCGTGTAGATGCAACAACAATGGCGACCGGAGCGGTCGAGGCAAAACACACTTTCAACACAACTAGTTAACATAAGAGGCCTCTGCTGGCATAGAGCCCCACTGAATGCACATTCAGGAGAATACAGGGAGATCAAGTCTTTAAGGTACTGACAGATATCATTTTAAGGCAGTCACAGGTGATAATACAGATATTGAAGATGATTCGAGGGGAGAAGGTATCGAGAGCAGGAGCGATGTGTTCAGTTCTAGGAATCTTTGTGATGCATCTTGCTGCAGAATTCTGAATTCTCTGTAACTTGGTTATGGCTTTATAAGTAAGATTTTCATAGAGAGCATTGCAATAATCAAGCCTGAAAGACACAAGGCACTGCATCAACAATTTAGCTGTTGGAGTATCCAGGAGATGGCGAACTTTCCCGATGTTATAAATGCGATGAAAATGCTCTACTTATGAGTGAGTGAGTGAGTGAGTTTAGTTTTACGCCGCACTCAGCAATATTCCAGCTATATGGTGGCGGTCTGTAAATAATCGAGTCTGGACCAGACAATCCAGTGATCAACAGCATGAGCATCGATCTGCTCAATTGGGAACCGATGACATGTGTCAACCAAGTCAGCGAAACTGACCACCCGATCCCGTTAGTTCTACTTATGAGGGGGATGTGAGTGTCCATAGACATTCCTGAATCAAGAATGACTCCCAAGATTACGAACGCTGTCAATTGGAGAAACAGTAGTTTCGCCAATCCCAAGACAAATGGACCCATGAAAGAATTTGAAAGAGCAAATCATCTGACATTTACTTAAAGCCCATCTTGATGTGTGAATTTCAGTCTAATTTGTCTGTCCATATACATGAGTGTGGCAGTGTCATATTTTACATTTTATTTATTTTATTTGTGTAAATACGGTATCATCTTTAAACAGTTTGGTTGTGGTAGTTTTATTGGATTAGGTTTTTATTAGAGTATGTATGGTATTTGTCCCTAGCTTGATTGCTGGACCTTGGGCTCCTATTGTATTATTATGGGAGAGCAGGGTGTTATTTTGTTCTTAACTCAGAGGGCAAGCTATTCCTTGATCTCTGATTGGTCAGTTTTATGTTGTATGATTTCTTCTTTTCTAACATCAGCACATTTTAGTCAGTCTTCCACATACAGCCGCACGAGAAGCATCTTACATATGACGTACGTGATATTTTTGACAGAGGTCTAATTTCTTCTCTTTGGTCTACAACTTCACTCTGTCTAAGGTTAGTTAACTTAATTATAAACATATTATGTAGGATGTAATATCTGTTAAGTATAGTTATATTATAAACATTATTTTTGCTTAGGTTTTAATATTGTGTGATGTGAAGGCCTGAATGTGTTTTAAGAATATAGTGGAAGTCAAATATGGTGTGTTTATTGGCATGGTTTTCATGTTTACTGCATCAGCATTTTCATTATAAGTTTATACGTAATAATTGTAATCTTTTATGAGGTCAGGTGACACACAAGCATGTGTGCCTGCTTAGCAGCCATCTTTGTCGGCCATGTTGTCTACTTAATGGTACATGTACATGTAATGTCTGTGCCACTTGAGATGCCATATTATTTTAACATTGTTCATTGTATATATTTATAAGAATATCACAGTACACATAATGTTGTGCTGTAAGGTATATGTATATGTTTATTATGTAGGTTTGTTTTAAATAGTGATATATGTTTCATTGTGATATAATAATAGGTTAGCATAATATACTTAATTGTGTGTTATATCACTTATAGATGGACATGTTGTTTCACTAAGGTGGACAATGTAATATCACCTGAGTACCATATATTTGGTAGGTATTTTATCCTTTTAATGTGTTTATATTTATGTATATATCATTACCACAGATATGTGTTCCCTTGATATTAATGCTGCAATTAATCCATATAATACCTTTTTGTGAACTGCATGTGTTTATTACTTATAATTATTACTTTCTTGGAATTGATGCAGTTCAAGTAATTTGCATTACAATGAATATATTGGTATAGGTATATATGATTATTATCAGTAATTGTAACTTTTATGTCTAATCTACATTATTAGTACATATGTGATACGACTGTTTTATTGATGATTGTTATTATGTTACAGGGTGAAAACAAAACAAACTATATATCTGAGAAATAAAGTAGTGGCACAAGTCACAACTCACACCCCAGCAGGCGTTGGTCTTCATTGAACAGAACCACCCCTTACCCTGCTACATGAGTAGTTATTGAGCTATCAGACAATAATCAAGAAATACAGCTCACTCGACCCCCATTGGCCAATGTGTACATCACATACTACCAATGGAAGTTTAGAACAGTAAATCCAAGTGAAACAACTGCAAACCAAGAAACTGGGTGCTTCACACCAGTATACTGCAGGAAACTGTACAAGGCAATGACAACTGACATGTATCGTGACATCAGTTACCATGTGTACGTTTCATTATGAGCAGGCAGAGGAGAATGGAGTTTTGACGTCAATACAGTGTGGCACAATGCCAAAAAATGTGTACTTTCTCGCCTGATAAAGTACTGTCAGTGCCTATTATCTTTTAGTGAAGCATCTTAGAACATCCAATTGGGATTTGTAAACTTGTACTGCTATGTCAGGTAAACACCAACGTCAAAGTCAAAGGGAAAAATACAAATTGCAATACTAATAGCAAAAAGGCATCAGTTGATCACCTGTTTTTTTGTTTGTGCAGAGTTTCATGAAAGAGTACCCTAAAATTCCTTAATTGCAAAGGGCACCATTTAAGCCCTTGGTTGATACATGTACTCAGTTTGGCTAAAGGGTTTTAGGGACAAACAACCCCTTCCTTTTGAAACCAAGTCAAAATTGTTTCCATGGAAATGCAAAAAATCGGTAAATAGCAAAAGGCACCTACTTTAGGTTCTGTTTGATACATATAGTTCGGTTCATAATTATTAAGAATTTTTCATGTCGGTTTGAACTCATTTATTCATGAGCTACACTGATGATGAAATTTTGCTATCAGTCCAAGGGAGGCAACTCTTTTTGCCTTACTAGACATGTCAGATTAGAGCACAGGCAAACTGTAGCGCAAATAGGGCTGCGCAACAGAGAGAAATATTACCAGTCTGTTTATATGCGAGCGAAGCGACCAAGGTTGGCAACGTACTTCCCTCGCTTTAGTTTGAAAAATATTTTTAACATCAAAATACAATATCGCCACCATCAAAGGTAGACACCCATTTCATAAAAGGATTGTGCTCTCAGATTTCCAACCTGATAATTAGTAATTAGTCATGTACAATATATTTAATTCCACATTTTAAGCTCCACTCGTGGCATGTCAAATTGTTCTTCACCTCCATTATCCCTGCCGGCTTCCGGTTCAACAGAGTGAAGGAACAAGAATAAGCAGAAATTAAAAAAGAAATATCATATTGCCTAATTTCACCATTGAACTGTTGGAGATTACTTTTCTTATCTGCCATCGTTATTGTTTGAATTTTCGTAACATTTATTCTACAATAAACGCTTTGGACGTAGTGGATGAAAGAAGCAAAGGACGTAACTCCGCAAGTATTCCATATGGCGGACATGTGATTCAACAAGTATATTTAGATTTAACTCCCCTGTTCCTTCATTCTGTTGAACTGGAAGCTGACAGGGGTAATGGAGGTGAAGAACGATTTGTTAAAGTAAATTAAGAAATTACTAATTACTTAGTAATTTCAGATTTCACTCATTTGCTTTTTAGAAAGCATGGGATTCTCAATACTTATATACCGAACAGTATAGCAATTTTTGTTGAAAAATATTGAATTTTTTTTTTATATGCTCCAGAAACGAAATGATTACAGACTATGTCCCACTACATTATATGCTGGGGGTATAAAAATGTAAAAGGTTTGAGGGTGATGACACCAATGCTGATGGATGACATAAGTTCATATGGCCTTTCATACCATGTGAGCTAATACAACATTGCCATGTTTAATGGTCAAAAAAGTATTCACATACTTGAATCTTCAATCCCTGCATAGACTAAAATGGAGTTAAACATTTTGACTGCTACTTCCTCCACTGATGGGTCATGGATCACTGTGAGGGCTTGACGGAGTGGACTTTTGCTGTATGACCAGTAGTTAACATTAAACTGGCCACTTTCTGACGAAGATGTTGCATATGTTCGGAGTCTTTCAAGTTTTGTCTTTGTCAATCTGAAAGACATAGAAGACCATGAGCAAAATGTTATTTAAGATCATTTGGAATTTACAGCAAAAGAGGTTGATGCTGCACAAATTCTGTAACAAATATGAAACATGTAATATGTAATATTGTCTTAAATAATTTATTCATCCAGTCATATATATTCAGTATACATGTACATCATTATGAAAACCCAAAACTTGAATATCACCTGATAACTGTTTAAAAAAAATCACTATTATAATAAGGGTAAAGAGACATAATGGTCATATCAGCTATGAATATGGATTCAGTTTACAATTGAAAACAAGAGTAATCAGATGATGACAAATCCCCCCGGCTCCAACAAATTTGAAAGAATTATTGAAAGTTACTGAAAGTCTAACTTTACTCCGGAAACAAAATCTACCCCTTCCTTTTGAAACCAATTCGAAATTGTTTCCATGGAAATGAAAAAAATCTGTAAATAGCAAAAAGGACCCACTTTTTTCTGTTGAAATGTCAGTGATAAGGGCAATTCTGTGCTTAAAAGCATCAACTTGGGACTAGGACTGCACGGTATTACCAGTATACCGGTAAACCGCAAATACGAAATTGTAACAATTACGTATCGCGATACATTTAGGACGTACCGGTATACTGCCAAAAATTAGTTTGTTCAATTTTAACCCATTCAACACCGCACATAAGACTTCCGCCCGTATACCCCCTAAATTTTAATGGTGAGGAAAAAGATATATATATACTAAGCAGCAAAAGAAACGTCAGTTTGGAATTTTCCGTCACAGAAACGGATAACTGTAACTCATTTAATGTTTAGATTGTATATCTTTGACAACATCTCCAACTTTAAAAACTCAGAATGGAACCCAGGAAATGGTCTCAAATATGCAACCGGATATCGGAGATGATACAGTGTTCTCCATGTTTTTCATGCAACTCATGCTACACGTGCTGTTCACAAGGACCAGCCATATATAATGCACCCCCAAACCTGGTTGAAACATTCACATTACAACGTCAGCAGGATGCCAGGACTCAAGACAGCTCAGAGGAACCAGGCGCTAGGAAGACTTGAGGCTGGCAACACTGCACAAGCCGTTGCCAATCAATTCCAGGTCAACGTTCGGACCATCTACAGGCTGCAGAAACGTTTCCGGGCCACAAACACCACAAATGATCGCCCCTGTACTGGCAGACCAAGGTCGACCACAAGACGACAAGACCGCCATGTTGTGCGACAGCATGTACAGAATCCCTTCATGCAGGCATCTGAAACAGCATGCCAGACAGTGGGAACACAAGGAAGACTAATCAGTACTGATACAGTACGCCGACGTCTTAACAGCGGGGAACCTCCATTTTTCCATGGACCTTACTGTGGGTCTATCCTCACCCTTCGTCATCATCATGAACGTCTACAGTTTGCCCTACAACACCCAAACTGGCGATACAGGCAATGGAGAACTGTTCTGTTCACAGGTGAGAGTCGGTACTGCGTATCAACTGCAGATGGCAGAACAAGAATATGGCGACGACGTGGCCAGCGTTACTCAGACCAATGTGTTATGGAAAGAGACTCATGGAGAGGTGCAAGCATCATGGTATGGGGTGGAATAGGCCTGTACCAGAGAGTGGGTCCTGTGGTGTTCCAGAACCTTGGTCTAGGGAGAGGAGGCGGCATCACAGCAGTGCGCTACATCGACCAAGCTCTCAGACCCCACGTCATACCACATTTCGCACGTCACAACAACATATTACAGCATGATAACGCCCCGGGCCCATACTGCCAGAGCTACACGGGACTTCCTACTACAGAACGGTGTCAACATTATGCAGTGGCCAGCCCTTAGTCCTGATTTAAACCCAATTGAACATCTTTGGGATGAATTTCAGAGGAGACTGAATAATGTCATACCAAGGCCGAACACAGCCGATTTATTGCGCAAGGCCTTTCTCAGAGTGTGGTTCCAGGTGCCAATCGATTGGTGCACTCCATGCATAGACGCTGTGCTGCATTTATTGCCGTTGTGGTGGTCACACTAGATACTGAAGTCAAGAGTCTGTATGGACTGCAAACGTTCACACAATGTCTTGAAATTGTGCTGAGTTATTCATTGATGTGTCAAGATATTGTACACAAAAAATGTTTTTGATCAGCTTATTATGTCCATTTCTGTAATGATTTGATTACAGTGCCTATCTAATTTTGAATTCATACTGATGTTTTTTTTGCTGCTGAGTATATATATTCAGGTAATATGGGTGGAGGTGGTGGGTGGGATTAGCAAATGATTGGCCACGGGTCCACTTAAAAATTGTCAAAGAGCAAAGTATGGATGTTTCGAGGAAATCATTAAAATTGAATAAACTAATGAATAAAGTCAACAGTTTTCATAAAAGTCAAACGTACATCTAAGTTACTATTTCCATCTTCTCGTGTGATCATGTTATATGAGTCAAGTGACATCTCAGCTTTCGTCACCTCAATCTTCATGCTCGTACACGATGTTTAATGAGAAAACATTTTGCAGGTCGCCACCTAGCACGATACATCCAATAAGTTTCATAATTTACGTTTATATGGCGATTTGTTGCTTAACATGTTCAGAATAGCATTATTGTACCCAAAACTTTTGTCTAAAAGTTTTCGTTTATGAGGACACTTTCCAATGCTGTAATATGATTGGCTTACGTGCATGATTTTTACCAATCACGAACCTTATATACTGAGTCAAAAAAGAAACTTCACATTCTTTCTTCAGGGCACTATAAAAGAACAAGAGATGGTAGATGGTTAAATTGTTATTATTTCATTGCTGAGATCTGTGTGATGTACTCGATACACTGACAGTGCCATAATCAGTTCCATTAGGCTACACCGCCGTTGCAAAACATGGGTATACAGAATGTCAAGTCACAAGAATAAATATGCGAAATTTCTCAGTTCAATATCGTGTATGGCCGCCCCGCGCATTCACCACTGCCAAACACTGTCTCCTCATCGACTTCCTGATGCTTGTGAACACGTGGTTGGGGATTCTACGCCATTGCTCTTGCAAGGCAGCTTGCAAGGCAAGCCAAGTTCCTGCAAATTCTGAGGTTGGTTCCTAAGACCACGAAGCCTTCTCCCAAGTGCATCCCAAACGCGTGCTCTATTGGATTAAGGTCAGGGGACCTCGATGGCCAGTCCATGATGTTGATTCCAGTGTTTTGAAGGAAATTTAGTCAATATTGCGGTATCGCGGCCGAGCATTATCATGCTGGAACTGTAGACCTGGGCCATGAGCCGCCATGAAAGGAACGAGTTCCGGGGTGAGCACCTGGTCATGGTAAGCAGCAGCTGTGAGGTTTCCACGGATGACCAGAAGTCGGGAACGGTTGTTCCCACAGAAAGCACCCCACACCATGCAACTTCCGCCCCCGAATCTGTCGACTTCCTGTAATACCGTTCACGACGTCGTCTCCAGACTCTATGCCTGCCGTCCGCGAATCTGAGGGTAAACCTGGATTCATCGCTAAAGACGACTCGATTCCAGTCTCTCTGGGTCCATTGGAGGTGACGTTGGTCCCACAGCAGGCGTTGGCGTTGATGAAACGGCGTCAATGTTGGCCCCGATATGGACGTCGAGAATGGAGTTTGGCAGCCCGCTTAACCGATTTGAATGGTCTGTGAGGACAGTCGACCTCTGAACATCTCAGCCCTGGTTAGGTGTAGCCGGCAGAAATCTGTCACGTAGGTGGCGTGGGACGATTGGCGGTCTTCTGCTGCTCGTGGCGTCACCGGGGGCGAATCCGACCTTGAAGCGATCAGAAGTGGTGCCAGTTTGTTGTAGACGACCTCCGCAAGTCATACACAGTACAACGGCTGCATCCCATTGCTCTTGTGACGTCAATAACTGATCTTCCCGCTTGCAACATGCCAACGGCACGTTCACGTTGCACATTTGACCATCGTGGCATTTCAAGTACCGTTAGAACTGTGGTTTAAAAGTGTTTTTTTCAATTCTTGAGGCCAATGCAAACACGTGCATATGAAGAAAACTTCGATGCGAAGATCACGTGATCGACTGCACATGCAAAACCTGATTTGGCACTAACGTCATTTGCACGACGAATGGATGAGTTTGAGTGGGTTTTGCTAACGTTTTTCTAGAGTCGAAAGATAGGGATCCCATTTCGGATACATAGGTATCATCAGAGAAAAATTATTCATTATTTTTCAAATTACATTTTGTGAAGTTTCTTTTTTGACTCAGTATAGTAGACTGTAGCGAAAAAGCGTCATTAGAAACCAATCTTTATCCCATAAAATCGCTTCTTACAAATGCGAAAATACTCCTGGCAAGGTTACTGTGATATTATTGATGATTAGAGCTTTCGAACAATAGAATCTTCTACAGTGTTGTTCATACGGAGCTTCGAAAATGGAGGCATTTCCCAATGTTGTGTCATGCTACCGGGTGAAAAGCCATGGTTATCGGGAAATAGGCGACCACACATATTATTTAATTAATCTTTATATAATAATTTTCTGATTACGTAAAAATGAAAATATAAAAGAAATAGGTAAGAGATTATTATGGCATCTTACAAATGGATTACAAATGGAGTTTACGTCTCCTTCGTGGTTTATTATTTTAAGTGTGTAAATTTGTATTACTATTAGAAATACATTTATTTAAGTTGAAGTTGTATTATTTGAGTTATATGATAAACATACCTTTGGTATTTATCAACAGTTGGATTAGACCTAAACAATTTAAAAGGTGTATGACATAGGAATAATGTTTCACGAGCTGATATTTTCCTTGATAAACTTAGGCTTCTATCTTATTATAAGGTTATGTTTCTCATATTATTTTACATTGTTCTATTTAGTCTAAAGAAAGTGTACTTTACCTGATGCAGAGTGACTTTTGCCCATCGTGAGTGTTTTGTTAAATCATTTCTTTATGTGAATGTGTACCAAACGTCATTCATGAAATAGGTAATGTTAATAATACTTTTATTCAAAGACAAAGGTGCATAAATCATCGTTTTGATTAGAATGTGCACTTCAAGATCATGTCACATGATTGTGACTTCAATTAAATTTTTCTGGAGTAATACAGATGTGTACAGTAAGTTCTATAACTCTTTAAATTATATGACATTCAGCAGTTACAATTAAAAGAAATACTTGTTGAAATTTTCTTTCATAGTAAAGCGTAGGGCTAGTAATTTTTGGAAAAGACTAGTGACATACAAAATCCACTAGCCCGGAGGGCCAGTTAACATTTTTAGTGAGTGTCGATCCCTGCTGTTTTAAAATAGAAATATAAACAGAAGAATGTTCTGGATTTTCTTTTTTTTTACTTTGAAAGAAGCTATACAATGCACAATGGTTACTCATATATCCTGTGATTCAATTTGAAGGTAAAAGAATATTACCAAGTGGACAGATCTCAATAACTGTTCTTTCACAATATATTGCAATACGTATCACATGATACAGAAGAGTGTATCACAATATATCGCAATACAAAATTTGGGGCAATACACAGCCCTACTTGGGACTCTAAAAAGGAGTACAAGATAGGCAGGAATTTCTCATTTCCAGTTTGATAGACGTGAATTTAAATAATGATAAATATGGAAGGAATTCTCAGGGACAATTGTGCATTTGACATATCGATGGACATATCCAATGGAGACTACCTTATAACGCTTCATATATCAAACATCAACATAAAGGAAGTAAATATTTCTGTTGAGAAAGGCAATGGTTACAGCTGTGTGTGAGGCACAGAACCCAAACATTTATACTATGTTCATCACATCATCTGGGGAACCTGCTTAACTGGAACTTGAAGAATTGCCTGGAACCCCTTTAGTGCTAACAAAATATTAGCTCATACATCTATAAGCACCAGCCATGTTTCTTTAACAAAGAAGGAACATTTGAATGCAAACTAGGTAAGGCCTGTTAAATACCAACTTATAACCCACCTAAGGACTCTAAAGTTTAAAAACCATAATCACCTCAATACGCTCCAGAACACAAGGGAGACAGTTAATCATATCCTTTCACACTTATTATTTCATCACTTAAGATCATTGAAAATGGTCATAATACTGTTTACTGGTTACAGGTGTGGTGACATGCATCTGGCAGCTGTGGCCCTTGCATGAATCCTCTCCCTCTATCTTTAACAATGTTCAGCAAACTTTCCCATGATCCATTGGTGTTGTTGAAGATTTCTTTCATTGTGATGTTAGTAAGTGTAGTAGCATACACGATGACAGAACGGGATCACTCCCTTTTATCAAGCCCTTTCATCTCAATTCTGCTACCAGTCCCCACAAAAACAGGTCAAACTTAATGGGACACCAAAGGATGGTCTGCTAAATTGACCAATTTCCAATAAACAACAAGGATGTTTTAACCTTTATCATACCGGTACTAGATCTCATTGTCAGAAACACTCCAAATATACAGGGGAGTCTCATATTGTGTAACTAAGACAAAAACCAAAATTAGGAACAATTACATGTATTATGTCTTTCAGTGGCATTTAGAAGAATTAAATTAAAAAGAAGTTTAATCCATAAAAATATCTTGGAAATTACATGTATTGTTAGTAATTATTAGTAAACTTACCTCTGGATTATGGTTGCCTTATTCCTGTGGATTCCACAGACACATACAGAATGGAAATGAATTTTTTAAACTAAGTCATAGCTATCCCTAGTGGTATGCTTAAAAGCGTTATGCAGTTATCTCCCTTGGCTGTGATGTCACAACATAGTTGTTGAAAACCTCTCATGATTTTTCTGAAAAAAAACCCCAACATCTTCTGCAGCTCCTCGTGGGGAAGTTGGTGCGGGCACTAGATCCCATAATCCAGAGGTAAGTTTACTAATAATTACTAACAATACATGTAATTGTTCCTAATTATAGGCGTAAACATTCCCTCTGGATTATGGTTGCCAGAATCACACATAAGGAAGGAGGGTTTATGCAGATGATGAATACAGCAATACCACTAATTATCCCGTTATAGTCTATGACATAACAATTAGGATAACTATGACTTAGGTGATGAAATGCAATTATATTGATTACCTAGATCATTCCCTGGATATTCTAGTATTCAATTACCTAAAGGGAAGGATCATACTCGTGAGGGAAAAATATTTGGTGTTTGGAGAAGACTGTGACGTCACTTCCGGTCCAAGACCTCATATTCGGTTCTGTAATAGTCTATTTCACCGATTCTCATTTTAACCGGTTTCTGTGACGTCACTTCCTGTTTGATGACGTCACTTCCGGTTCATGGCGTCACTTTGATTTCATGAAGTCACTTCCGGTTCATGATGTCACTTCCGGTAAGTGATTTCAAGTCTTCTCGTAGATTACTTAACTGGAGTAATAAACTACAGCGGATATAATAATTCCACTTAAAGGTGATAAATATTAATAGATAAGGTTCTTCAAAGATCCTCATCCTTCCGTTTACTGTTAACCTGTTTCCTCCCTCACAGTCCAAAACAGTGAACCACTGCTGAGTTTGGATATATCTGCAAAACACACAAACACACACCCCTTCTTTTTCCCCCTCAAGGGAAAACAGGTGGAGGAGAGGCGCTGTCTGTAGGCTCTCTAAGGATGGAATGACGTTTCACAAAAGATATTTTCCACCAGCATGCAGCAACAATCTGATCTATGGAAATGGACCCCCAAGCTGCAAGTGACGACATCCAGGCCTTGGTCTCATGCAGGGAAAACTATTGTGCACTAAGTTGGGGTCACAGTCCTGGGAAACAAAAGTGATGGTCCTCCTAAGCCAAGATGATATAGTATGCAATCAAGATCTCCAAATCAACATTTGTCTTGCATGAGATAAAAAGACAGCGGCAAATACGTCTGATATTGAGAGTACGCTGGAGATATCACCTCAGAGCTCGAATAGTTCATAGGACTCTAGTTCTGTCTGATCTAGAGGCAGAGGTAGGGAATACTTGAATCTGGGATACTCTGTGGATGAGAGACCGCTAGCAGATGCCCGATCCTTGGCAAGACAAAAACTGGTAAAGTGCTACATGACAGCCATCCATAGCCTCCTGGAAAGGTGATTGACTAAAGTCTACGGCAAAAAATTCTGGTATTCTGGAACTGGAAGCTGTAGCAATGACAAGGAGAAAACCCACCTGTTAAGGAGAAGAAATGTCAAGGAATTTCCTACATAGGTTTGGAAGACTTCTGGAGGGACTACAGAATGAGACATAAAGCCAACTGTGGAAGATTGTAGGACTAGGAGCTGAAAAATAAAATAATAATTTAATAAATAAAGTCGTAACTGGAATGATCTAATCGGCTTGTAGAGCAAGCTGTTAGAACCACTGCTAGTCCTGGTATATCCTAAACAGAAACGATTGCTGATCTGTAGTCCACCATAGGACTGTGTTTCAGTGTCTTAACGTCACGAAGATAAAGATAGAAATCCGCTATGAAATCTGAATTCCCCTCAACATAAAAAATGGAGGGTCGATATCAGAACAATGAAAAAATATCCAGAGATTGGTGAAACAATTTCCTCGTTGGATTGTTCTGGAAGATTCTTCTCCAGTCAAGAGGCAAGATGGTACTAGTGCTGATGAATGGTCTAACACAAACACTCATGTGTGATTGGCATCGGAAAAAACTGCCTGAAAAACGACATCCAAAGAGGAGTGGGCAAGCATCCCTCGTGGGCTGACATGACCACCACGGTATCTTGATTAATTGCCAAATAATCCTCAAAACCTGGGTGAGGAAGCTACCCGATTCCCAAGACAAGGCAACCTCCGTATGAAAAGATACGGATCTAGTACGCATGGGCTAAAACCTAAAACTAGGAGGAATGTGATTTAAATGTGAACGAAAGTTTGGGATAATTTCGAGGACAGATGTGAGAATTCTGTATCAATTTATAGCACTGGCGAGGAAAAAACAACCCCATCTTAACAAGGTTGACATGGGCTTGTCTATCCATACCCCTAGCCGAGGATGCTAAGCCTTCGTATTTACAATATTGTGACTGAGTTGTCCATCCACGTTGTACAGTGAACGCAGACACGAGATCACAGAATAATGTCCCACATGGTGCATAAAATTCTTACAGCGCATCTCCAATGGCGTGTTATATGTCTAAACAAACATACCTTCATAGAAAAAGAGATCACTTATCAATGCGCTGTTGATTAAACCCATGATTAAACTCATGTCCGCCCGTAACACTCTACAACCTACAACCTACAACACGATGTTTACGGCGGCCATTTACAATGTATGAGCTCTCGGCCAATCAGCGTCATTCAGTCCGCAGTAAATACTATTCATCAGCCAATGAAATAATTTGTTATATTGTAGCTTACACAAGGTCTAAGCTGGTTGCTAAGCTGGTTCCCGGCTCCCGTTGCGCTCTCGAACTTGCGCCATATAGCGTATATTGCTATAAGCGAGACTGGGCCCAGCTTAACACAAGGTCGCAAAGCATGGCAGAAGTAGGTAGACCAACGGAAGATGCCATGAGCGTGTTTAGGGAGATGAGAATGATGAAAAAGTAAACGAACGACAGAATACACCTTCCAAGATCCGTCAGAATGCAGAGGGATAATAGGCACTTGTTAGAACAATAAATGTGCCCTATAACACGCCTTTTCCAGGTACAAGGCACATGCTCAAGGTGTTGACATGTTACCTGTTATTACCCCTGATAACCCCGGCTGCCAAGAGGCGCGAGAAAATTGAATAGCCACATGATTTATCCCACCAGGTACCCATGTACCCTGCTGGTTATATAGAGGCAAATGAATAAACACACTTGCCTGTATTCAGTGACTGGATATCAGGCTTGTTTCCAACCTAATGGTATATCGCCCGTGTCTCCCGTGGAACGCTCAGCTGACAGTGCATTCTGGCAAGAAAACACACGTGTCATCCCCGTTATCTGATACATTCACCTGGCCCGACGCATGTGCTACCTGAACTGCCGTCGCATCGTGGGACAGCGGATTGATTTTGAACCCTGGCCTCGAATATAGCCGTGGTGTTGCTAATTCAGTAATAATAATAATGACAGTTACATATAGCGAAATCCAACCACAAGTGGATGCTCAAACGCTACAAAGTGAGGTTTGAGTTAATAGTACAGTGAAAGAGATGCGTTGAAAGATGTGATCTGAACGCAATTAAAACATGGAAACAGTTTATAACGAGGAACAGACTATTCAACAGTGATGGCGTGCAACCACTGAAAGAGCATTCTCAATAAGAGGCCATGGCAGTCTGTAAGAAGGAGTATTCAGTAAGAATTGCTTCCAGATCGCAGTTGTCTGGGTGGTTGAAGGGGCAATTCACTGAAACGATTAGAAATTCTGGTGCTATGCCATTTAGACTCTTGTATGTGATACAGAGTACTTTAAACAACTGTACCGGGTTGTTTGGAAGCCGTGGCCGGAGGTAGATTCCAATGGAACGGGTGAATACCCAAAGTAGTAGACAAAGTAATAGGCTCAGATGATGAAAAAAATATATAGCTACCTTATACAATGCCAAGCGTAACAGATTGTCGAGGGGAGACGAGATCGACAACCCCCGAGTCCCTTATACCAGGAGTTAAGGTGAGAATTGCAAATGCCATTAACCAGAGAAGGATGGTATGTGAGACCCGTCGACTTGTCGTAAAAGGTGAGTAATGGGATCGGGTGGTGAGGCTTGCTGACGTGGGTAACATAATGTGTCACCGTATCCCAAGTGCGTAGAAACCACCTCCAGAGTGTTGTGGTTAGAGCGTCCGCCCGGAGAGCGGAAGGTTGCGGGTTCGATCCCAGATCGCGTCATACCAAAAGACGTTAAAATATGGTACTTGTTTGTCCCTGCCTGGCGTTAACGGGTCCAACAAGGACTGTGCGCCTCGGAGTCAGTATAATGTGTCCGAGTGGGGTAGTCATGCTTCACTGCAGTATGGTATCTCAGTGGACATGCACTATAAACCCAGCCGCACATACACATACACACGCATGCACGTCGTCATATGAGCGAAATATTCTCAAGGACGACATGAAACCCAATGTCACCACACCTCACCAAGCGCGTAGATCGAAGCTCAAGTTGATCACTGGACTACATGGAAAATTATAGACACAATGAACATCTTATAAACAGAACAGGGAGGACCCTAGACTAATAACTAGTCTCTGAAATGAACATATTTTACTGAAAAACAACAACATTCATAGTAAAAAAATATATATATAATGAAAAGGAGCCCTGAGACTTTCTTCATTATCTGAAGCTGAGGAAATCTAGACTTGCCACATTTTCTAGACTTGCGTGGGCTTTCTTGGATATATTTGCTTCAGGGTATGTATGAGAGACTAGGAGGACCCGTGAAGCACGAGGCACAGACAAAACACGTGCAGATACGCTCTTGTGACATATGCTTTTTGGCAGAGTTCAATAAAGTAACATAAAACACAAGCAATATGTACAAAATATAGAATGCGATGGTCAGAAACATCAACCAATGCGACACTACTGACCGGGAGTCTTGTAGTTCTTTGAAAATTTTGAGGGAGGACCCGTGAAGCACGATGCGCAGACAAAACACGTGCAGATACACGCTTGTGACATGTGCTTTTTGGCGGGAAAAGTAGAGTTCAATAAAGTAGAATAAAACAAAAGTAATATGTACAAAATATAGAATGCGATGGTCAGAAACATCAACCAATGCGACACTACTGACCGGGAGTCTTGTAGTTCTTTGAAAATTTTGAAAACACTTCCACTCTGTAAACACGTCTTCTGTGTTGTCCATACAGAAAAATTATGAAAGGTTTTCAACAACTATGTTGTGACGTCACAGCCAAGGGAGATAACTGCATAACTCTTTTAAGCATACCACTAGGGATAGCTATGACTCAGTTAAAAAAATTCATTTCCATTCTGTATGTGTCTGTGGAATCCACAGGAATAAGGCAACTATAATCCAGAGGGAATGTTTATGCCTATGATTTCATACTGATATCTTGAATGGTTCCAGAGATACAGGTATGTTCCCATTTGGGAACATTGCCAGGATCATCGTGAAAATGAAAGAAAACAATATTTTGGTAACACATCTTGGCCTACCTTTAGAATACAGCACCACAAACTTTAAAAATATGTCATAATACCCTTTTACGTAATGTAATGTGATTTTGTTCAAAAGCACGTTCTCGAAACAATGCCCTATGACGCCTGCATGGCAACACGGTTGTCTGGCTCAGCGAGTGCGTATAAGCTCCGCTCACTGGTGTTTCATCTCTACGAGCTATGTCATTGCATAAGCCCAACGATGTTGAGAGTTTCCAGTAGTTGTATACCGGCAAATGCGCAATATTTTGCAAGCACCAGTTTGAAACATTTTTCTTTTTTCACTAATACGCTCATATTTATTTGTATTACGGGGTACTGAGGTGTTATGTTTTGTGTATTTTGTATTTTGTATTACATATTTGTCTGAACTCTTCTTAACTTATCCGAAAGAAATTACATAGGTTATATCCAATGCTAAAGCAGCTTCTAGCCTGGAAGCCATACCAACATGGCTATTTAAAATAAGCTTGGATTCTCCCATCAGTCCATTATCCAATTAAGGGATGCCACGGTTCCCAAAGTTTTCAAACAGTCAGTCGTCGCTCTTCTCATTAAAAAGGCCAATTTAAATCCGGATGAGTTTAAAAAACTCCCAGCCAGTATCTAATCGGTCTCTCAATTCAAAATATTTTGAGAAAATTGTTTCACCAATGCTTGGAAGAACGCAGTGCTTACAAATCAAAACATAGCACAGAGACTGCTCATGTTCATGTCCATAACGACATCATGAGGGAAATGGACCAATTCCTGATTTATCATCAGACTTACACACCCTAGACCACACCCTACTGCTTTCTCACTTGGAGGAAAGACTCAGTGTTACAGGAAAGGCTCTATCTTGGATCAAATCCTATCTGTCTGCCAGAACAGGTTGTCAAGATTGGCGAGGTTACCTCACTTCCGACAGCAGTTAACGTTGGTGTCCCGCTGGGTTCAGTTCTGGGGCCTTTGGTTTTCAGCATATATATCCTTCCAATAGGTCATATAATCAGGAAACAGATCATGGAGGACTGTGAATTTTCTCAAATTA